TAAAATATTTTAAAGATTTGTCAATTGTTTCTTTTCTTTACCTGACTCCATCTCTTTCTGTGACGAATTTTGCTCTTGTCCTTCAAATGGGCGATCATTTTCGTTTTGCCGGGCAGCGTCCAGACGAGTCGGCCGCCATAAGGCGTGGGATACTTCTTCGGGGCTCTGACGTGCATCCGCGTCTGATGGACGTCAGAGGCAGCCTCGTCAACGGTGTCCACCAACCGTTTCACAAACCCGTTCACCTGCGACTCGTTCTCGTCGTGATCCGCCAGCTCGAACGCGTCATCGAAGAATATGTGAGCTGAGGGAATAAAATCGTCCTATGAAATACTGACATCATAAATCAGATTTCTTCTGATCCGAAATCATCAAAGTTCGATTAACTCTGATAGTGAGTCATTATGCGATTTCTCTTTTATTACAAGGAATGTTTATAGGTATTACTATTCTGCCAAGAGTACTGTCGAAGTGTCAATAACGAGTAACATATTTCAAGGATTGGCGATATTCCTTCAGACGTAAGTTCGGCCCTAATAATAAAATCAAGGAAGTTGGTAACAACTTAATCAGGAAAGTGGGCTCACTCTCGAATTCGTAGTAATCCGGATCGACGACCTTTAGATACTTTTGGGCATTCCGTCTCGCGCATTGGTCCTCGTCGAGCCGCAGGATGCTCTTCAAGAATTCCATCATTTCTTCCTTTTGCTCGTGCCACATCGTCGCGCAGGCATATATCCTAGTTACGTGATCGCTGCTTTTCACGGCCGACGGCGGGGTGGTCGAACCGTCCGTCTGCTCGTATATAGTCTCGTAATCCCCGTCCCCTTTTTCCTTCTCTATCTCCGCTAGATCCTAAACGGCACAAAAGGAAAACACCCAGCTGAAATTTTCATGCAAACGGCCGCCGTTCCATCGGCGGGAATTTTGTAACAACCTTTTTCTCATTTCATTGTAAAGAAACTTTCATACTTACACTTTAACATTTTTTTTTCACTACAATTTTTTGTTATAACTTGGGTAATAAAGATATTTAATTTTCACGATTCATTTTTCGAATCTGGATATTTGATTTATAATAAAACAACAAATTTAGGGACCGGATCTCTGGTTTAACGTAGGAGGCATGATATTCATTCCTGTTCGGTAATTAAAAATACGTGCATTTATACGTACGTTTTCACACCAGACCAGAATAGCGTAGGTACTTTTAGAAAGAACTCGGGACGGGAATACGTACGATTCTATTTAAATTAAGTGACAAGGAGTATTCTTTGGATCGTCATAAAGATCGCCGAGAAAAATGGTTGCAAATAAAAGTGGGATAAGAAGATAAAACTGTACTTTAGCTCTGAACTATTAGTAGATTCATCGGAGAAGCTATTTAATGTCCCTTTCCGCAGGTGGAGGTACAATAAGCGTTAAGTCCGGAGATTTATTTCGAGACATTACGTACTAGCTTAAAATAGAATTGCTGTGGAAAGTAACGAGATATTCTTTTAAATCCATCCGCATCTGAATTCCTTAAGATAGAAGATTTATCAAAGGAACCGAATGATATATCGAATTATTAAATTAATAATAAATGAAATATTTAATGAACGTGTTGGATAAAAACGTTGTCGGAGAACGACTTGCCTCGACTTTCACTTCCGGTTGATCATCCCTTTTCCTGTTCAGTCCCATCGATTGATCGATCAGCAGGGAGTTGTACATAGGGACGACGAACAACTTCTCAGTCGACGCGAGACGCTCGCATTTCGGTGTCCAGACGTGCAAAGTAATCCAAGTTTGCGACAATAGCCAGAGTAGCCATACCCAGGCGTATTGCTTCGAAACAAAATCATTGAGGAAATGCGGCGGCGGCGAATCGTAGAACAGATAATCCGGTATGGTCGCGTGAAATATGCAGGGGTCGTCATTCCGCAGGCCACAAGCGGCGATTAATAACGAGATCGATACCGGTATCGTTAAATTCACCGGGAAAGCATAGCTGAAACCTTGTATTAGGATCTTGCACGCGAATTTGCCTGGAAAAATTCAATCATCGTTTTTATTATGAATTATTTTACATCAGACGTTCAATCAAATGAGGAAAACAACTGAGAAATTTAATTTTTTTCTGCCATCTGCAAAGGCTAGAGCAAACTATTATACAGAATTTTTAATTTATTAATAAAATTGT